GACAGCCCACCCCAGACCCCGCCAGACACCCTACCCCCCACTTCTGATGGGAGCCAAGGGGCTGACCCACCCCCTGCTCCTGAAGTGGACTGGGGCCTCTGCCATGCTCCCCTCCCACTCTGAGCCAGTGAGCAAAGGGGAATAGGGGCTGTGGCCACCGGTATTTAGACCCCGCCAGACACCCTACCCCCCACTTCTGATGGGAGCCAAGGGGCTGACCCACCCCCTGCTCCTGAAGTGGACTGGGGCCTCTGCCATGCTCCCCTCCCACTCTGAGCCAGTGAGCAAAGGGGAATAGGGGCTGTGGCCACCGGTATTTATAGTGTGGGTGCTGCAACGGGCGCTGCCCCTTCTCACCCGCAGCTGACACACGGCTGGGGGCAGGCAGTCCTTAGTGCTGCCTGGGCCACAGCGCTGCTCCCCCCCCAGCCACGTGCAGCCTGGGTGCCACCACCAGCATCCCCAGGGATGAAGCTGCAGCCAGGGCAGGAGCAGCTGGACGCCCATCGCACGGCCGGCCTTGGGGAAGCTGGTAGTGGAGCCGGCATCAGCTGAAGGTATGTGGTGGGGCAGGTTGCTGAGGCCTAATGGCTAAGGCATCTGCCTCTGGAGTTGAGATTGTGGGGTCTCTTCTCCCCCAGCCTGGGAGTGGTCAGGCAGCCACCACCAGCCTCCCCAGGGCTGGAGCATGGAGGGGTGGGTAGCTTGCTCCAGCGGCTGCACCGGGGCCTGGCTCCAGCTCCAGCTCCGGCACAGCCCTTCTCCCTGACAGCTGTGTGCAGCTGGGCAGACACCACCAGCTTCCCCAGAGCCGGAACCGGCATCAGCTGAAGCAGGGGTGGGTCCCTGTGGCCTCCCTAATGGATAAGGCATCAGCCTAGGGATCCAGGGATTGTGGGTTTGAGTCCCACCCACATCCTACCCCCCACAGAGGCTGGCGGTGGCTGTTCAGCTGCTCTTGGGGCAGGCAGCTTGCTGTGGGGCTGCACTGTGGCCCGGGGCCAGCAAGGCCACAGTCAGGCAGTCTCCTGTCCTTGGCCTTGATCCTGGGGCAGGCCCTGTGGTTTGGCCTCTGAGTGTAGGAAGGGCTGACAGCTCCCCCCGCACCCTCTTGTTGTTGAATGGATAGGAGGGGAGGCCACGATCCAGCTGTGGTGATCCTGTCTCAGCCCCTGATGCCTGGATGCAGCAGCGTAGTGGCAAGGTAATCTGTACCAATCCTGCCCAATACTCTACTTTCCGCACCCTGCCCTACCTCCCACGCGCCCCAACCCCGAGCCCTGTGTAAACCCAAGTCCCTTGTCATAAAACTCCTGACACCCCCCACACCTCAACCCTGTGCCCTGAGCCCACCATACACCCAAACTCCCTGCCCTGAGCCCCCCACCTGCCTGCCATAACACTCCCACAATCCAAGCCCCTCATACAGCCCAATCCTGATTCCTGCACCCCCGCATCCTCAGCCCCTTGCCATAAGATTGACAAGACAGCCTGAATGCGCTCCAAGCTAGATTTGTCTAGTTATGATGTAAACTTGAAAGAAATGTTCGAAAAGACACGGCAGAAGTCCCATGAAATAAAATCTGTGAGTTCAGTGTTGCATTGCTGCTATTATTAGTCATCATGTCAACTATCAATAATAGTAAGTCGTACGTTTTCAGTCAGGCAAATGGGCTTTCTGATACGGCTCTTTGTTGACCACTTGTTCTGAATTTTGATAGAGTTTGGCTCTGAGGTTCGATAAAGCTGCCACCCCCTGCTCTCGACAGACTGTGCCACCCAGGGGCCAAACATTGTCCAGATTGGGAGTCCAAAGATGGAGGTTCTAGCCCTGTCCTGTGTGACACTGGGTTAGTCACTTCAGCTGTCGGCATCTCTTCCCCTCAGGCTCTCCTTGCATGCCTAGTTTTGAGCTGTTTGGGGCAGAAGCAGTCGCTATGTGCCTGAGCAGCGCTTTGCAAAAGGGACCTCCCATCCGCTCCGGCGTTAGCAATAACAAAAAGGAAGCAATCGCATCAGACCCCGTGCTAGGCACTTCATTCCAGTCCACCCGCTCTGTGCCACGCAGCAGCAGCAGAGTCCGTTGTGCAAGCTGCCCTCGGGTTCCTTTCCCTGCTGGAGAGCAAAATCTTGCAAGCGCTATTGTCCGGCGAGCTCCGTGGGCCCGACCCCAATTGCATTACCAAGCACAGAAGCTCCTGTTGATTGACCAAAGGTGAATCCTGTGTCTGCTCCCCCCAGGGTGATCCTAGAGGCACCCGTTCCACTGTACATATGAAAGTAGGTGTAAAAGAAAAGGGGTCAGGACAGGGCACGACTGTACACAATAGGACCAGCTCCAGGGGGGTCTCAGCCACCAGCCTCACTGCCCTGGGACTGGGTCCCAGCCACCAGCCCCATGGGATCTGCTGTTGGCCTGGGGGTCCTGGCCGCCAGAGGCTCTGCTGCAGGCCCCGAGGCCCCAGCTGTCAGCCTAGTGCCTGGGACTCCTCAAGCTGCCCCCAGTTGTGGCAGCCTGGGGCGGTGAGGGGCACAGATGGGGGGTGAGGTGAGAGGGAAATGCAGCTCCTCACTCCTGTTCTAAACATCATTCCAGCACCGCTGGGCAGTGGGGCTGGGAGGGCGCAGTGGGATCCAGCAGTGGATGGGATGGGAGTGGGTGGTCCTGGGGAGTAAAGAACATTGCGTGGGGCAGGGGAGAGAGAGGCTGGTGGGGAGGGGTATGGCAGTGGGGCCAAGGGGCTGTGACAGGATCAGGCAGGGGATGGGATGGGATGGGAGTGGGTGGTCCTGGGGAGTAAAGAACATTGCGTGGGGCAGGGGAGAGAGAGGCTGGTGGGGAGGGGTATGGCAGTGGGGCAAAGGGGCTGTGACAGGATCAGGCAGGGGATGGGATGGGATGGGAGTGGGTGGTCCTGGGGAGTAAAGAACATTGCGTGGGGCAGGGGAGAGAGAGGCTGGTGGGGAGGGGTATGGCAGTGGGGCAAAGGGGCTGTGACAGGATCAGGCAGGGGATGGGATGGGATGGGAGTGAGCGGTATGCTGGGGAGAGCATGGCAGTGGGTGGCAGAAAGCCTCCTAGTTTGGGAAGAGGCCCTAGCCAAAGTGAGCGGGTGAGTGTGGAGCTGCAGGAAGGCTGGCAGGTGAGGGTGTAGGGTCTGCACCAGGTTACTGACATGGACAGAGCGGCTGAGGAGCATCCGTGAAATCAAGCCTGTTGGTTTCCCCCTGCTGTCGTTTGTCCTCCAATCCGGTGCCATTGCAGAAGCCTCCCAGCTGTTCCCACCATGCCTGCTCCATGCCCAGCAGCTCGCCCCCACCCCCAAAGCCCTAACGAGGGGAATTACCAGCTTCAGTCCCCCTGGGCGGGAGTAAATACAGCCTGACACCCAGAGCCCGTACTCAGACATCCTGCTGCTGCCTGGAGACTCCTGTTCCTCCCCATTGAGGGCCCTTTCCCCCTCTGGATGCCCAGTTTGCTAATGCAGCCCTGGGACATGTCAGGGGGAATCCCCATGCTCTGACTGCGTTGTGTTTCATGGCTGTGTAGGTTTCTTGGGCCCTCCTGCTATGCACATCCCATCAGTAGCAGAGGGGCCTCCGCTGGAGCCGGGTGCCGTACTTCAGGAGAGAAGTCGAGGCACAGGAGAGAGGCCAGAGCAGGGCCACAAAAGTGATGGGAAGGTTTAGAGAACCGGACCTGGGAGGAAATGGGTGTGCCTGGTCTGGAGAAAAGATCAGTCTTCAGATATGTTAGCAGCTGTCTATAGTGAACAGTAGTGGGCCTGTCATCAGTGGACATGGAGAACAAGATATAATGGGCTTAATCGGCAGGAAGGTTGGTTTTTAGGTTAGAGGGAGAAGACGGTCAGGAATTGGCTCCCACGGGCAGTTGTGGAATCCCTGTTACCGGAGGGTTTTCTAGAACCGGTCAGACAAACGCCTGTCGAGATGGCTTGGGTTTACTTGGTCCTATGTCAGCACTTGGACTAGATGATCTCTCGAGGTCCCTTACAGAAATGTAGGACTGGAAGAATGGCCATGCTGGGTCACACCAAGGATCCATCTAGCCCAGTATCCTGTCTGCCCACAGAGGCCACGGCCAGCCAGTCTGATGTCAATGGGAAGGATGACGGGCTTCAGTGGAGGTTGGGTTGGGAGTCTGCACTATAATAAACCTCGTCCTTTCTGATCCAGAATGGGGGTGGGGGTTGCGCGTGTGTGTGTATTTCACTTCTACAAGTCAGAAAGGTGAAACTTGCAAAGTGTTATCAGACAGCCCTTGCTCTACTCCTTGAGAACAGAACCCAGTGTCTGTTCTGTGTCTGTA